TTTTTCCGCGCGCGGGATCGTTCCTGGAATTCGCGTGCGGCGGAATATTCGTGATGGACTCGAGGAAAAAAAAGGAGAAATCGAGTACGTTTAGGCTTACGCCGATCGACGCCTCTCGTGATCGGTAATCCGATCGTCCACGCAAACCAAATCTCCGCGTGGGCCAAACGGCCACACGAGAAAAAAAAAAAAACGGGTGAGCGGAAACGGCCAATGGAAGCCATCGATCGAAAGCATTCATATTTGACCGACCGCATCGAGCATTCCGGATCGATCGCGATCGGTTGCATCACCCCGCTCCCCCTTGCGAAATCCCAGCGGAAATGAGGGAAAAAGAAAACAGACCTTCCAAGCCGTCGCGAGCGGTGCGATCCGATGCAGATGATCCACGGAGCACTGCGTGACCCAAGTGACGTCATCCCGGACGACCGCGGCGTCCGCCACGACCGCGTTCTCCATGACCGCATAGTCGCCGCTCTCGTCCGTCGCCAGTCGCGGGAACGCGGCCTTGAGCCTCTCCACTCTCCAGTCCTGCACACGCACCCGATTCCTCAGCACACGCACCGGATTCTTCGGCACGCGCCGAAGCGATTTTTGGACCTACCGGCACCGTCGGACGCGGCGCGGACGACTCGCTCGCCGCCAGGCGAAACACGACCTTGTCGACCACGAAGACGAGCGCCAGGAGAAGGAAGAGTACCTTCACGAGTGCGCCGAAGTACTGCCGGATGCCCGCCCTCCTGCTCCTCGACCGGATTCCCATCGTCTCCGTCGGTCTCACCTAAGAGGGAGACGAGAGGGAGTCGCTTATCTTATCGGGGATTCCTGCGAGACCATTGTGTCGTTTCGCTGCGTCGTTCGTTCTATGCGGAATGGCCGTTTCTCGGAATCGAGGCCGACGCGGGGTTCGCGGGCGCCGCCGGATCCGGACCCTCGTCTCCCTCGTCGCTCGTTTCGTGCTCTTTGCCTTTAAAACGGGTCGATGCGTCCGCGACGTTCGTCCCGTTCCTTCCATCCATAGACCCCCTTTTTAGTATTGGATAAAACGGCCGATCCAGGGGGAACGGGGGCCACACGGGCAGGGAACACACACGAACACGGGCAGGGGACACATCCACGACCGAAGAACTCCTTAAATCATTCAGAATTTGGTGGAAAACGGAGACCGTACGACGATAGCCGACGTTAGAAAAGTAGGGAAAAGGGAGACGTTACCATGATGTCGGCAGTTGCAGGAACACGGACCCGACGTGCTCGAACGCGAACCGGTCCGGGTCGAAACTGCGTGTTTTAACCCGGTGTCGGCCTCGTCGGGTGTCGGCCTCGTCGCGCCTCGAGGCCATCTCCCCGATCTCGAACCGTTTTTCGGCCGACGGAGGGAAAAGAAAGCGGACGATCGCGGCCGAGTCGCGCGGGAAGGATCGTTCGCGACGGCTCGAGTCTTCGCGATGCGAACCCGCCGACGCGG